AAATGAGCTTCCCACCTCCATCAACACGTGGTGCACTTTCCGAAGAAAATCTTCGTTATTCTCATAACCAGGGAGGGGCTCAGCAGGCAGGTCTGACCGATGGCCCAACTGGGGGGGAACAAAAAAGATGCAGAACAGTGTCACTTTCACAACTATGCACGTTCTTCAGAACTGAGTGTCTCTTAAACCATTAAGTGCTGGAAATTTTACTCAACGGGCAGCTTCACAGAGGTGTCTTTGGCTGCCTGGAAGACAGGCAGCTGAGCCTGGACTAGCCCCACAGGATTAAATCAATCATCCACTAATATTTACTCTGAAATTTGCTTTCTGTAATTTGGCTACCCTTCGCTGGAAAACAGTGAGTGGCTACAGGCACTAAAACAGGGATTCCCCACTGCACCTCCGTGATCCACAGGGTCCTTCCAGCTCTGTAGTTCCAAGATTATTATTATGAAATGTTCCAGTGACCGTCATAAAGGAAAACGCTGAGAGTCGCAGACACAGAGGGTATTTCTACTCTGTCCCTCTTCTCACCACACTTACGCTCTCGGCGGCTTCCACCAGCGCTCCCCATTCCACCTTGGGCACCATCCGAGCAGTGAACTCTGGGTTGAAATCTACTTTGTTCACTTTCACCTCTGTGGCCTGTTGGGATAAAAATGGAGAATGAAAGCCAACGTGGGACCAAGCACTTCAAACAGCTGGAACAGCTGCTGGTGGAAATTCAGAGAAAAGCAAAACTGGCTAGGACAGCTGGTTCAGGTAACTCTACTTTTGATCTGTATCCCTGTTTTCTTTTCCGTTAAAGAACCTCATAACATTTGAAAGTGTTATGTGGATTGTTGTGTTTTCCTCCCTTCCTCCTTCCCCCTCCAACTCTCCTTCTCTTTACATCATGTTTTTTTGGATTATAAGCATGAGAGCTGAAGCTGTCTTTACTCTTTTATTAATTGACATTTTAGTCAGCTGAGAGCCTTTCCACTTGTACAATATACTTAAACACTGTATCACCTCCCTGTACAGTAAAAGATGTCACACAGCAATCCCCTCACTCCCGGGGGTGACACACATTCTGTGGCAAAAGCCACAGACTGTATCTGCTTTGGCCACCTAGCTTTTATACGAAGAATTCAGCCCTCAGATCAGGCAGGAGGCAATTCTGGATATAGTATGAAAGATGCATCCTGTTGAACTGGTTGGAAACAGTAACAGTACTATCCACAGAGTTTAATTGTTTATAAACAGACTGTTACCAGGGAAGTCCAGAGGAGTTACATATGGCTGGGGGGGTATGTGGGAATCTTCCAAAAAAATGTTATCAGTGAGTTGGTAAAAACAAGGCTGAAAGGGAAAAGAAGATCAAGTCATTTGGGAATAGTCCAGGATTCAAAACCACAATAATAAAATTCAAAGTGAACTGAAACGTAACTCAAATGCAGACTGAAGACTCAGACACTATCACCACAGTTAAACACCCACTGACTTTCTTCCCAACCAACCATGATCTCTGTGTTTTGATCTCTACATTTTGAAGCCATGCATAAGTATTTGCTATCTCTCTTTCGTCTGAGGTGGGCTTGATCCACGAAAGCTCAAGTTGAAGTTAGTCTTTAAGGTGCCACCAGGTTTTTGTCATTTTGATTTGTTCTTTTATTTTTATTTTGTTTTTGCCTGAAACAAAGCCTACTGTGGCCGGCTATAAAATAATGGGCTAACTTTAGTTTTTTTTGGGGGGGGGGAATACAAAAAACCCTTCCTTGAGGAAGTGGCCTTGATCCATGAAAGCTCGTGTTAAAACTATATCAGGCAAAATCCAAAGAGGCAAAACAGTGCCCCCCAAAAAAGACAAAAATATGGGGCACCAGAAAGACTACATATTTTAATGTAAGCTTTCGTGGTTCAGGCAAAATCCAAAGAGGCAAAACAGTGGCCCCCAAAAAAGACAAAAATATGGTGCACCAGAAAGACTAAACATTATATTTTAATGTAAGCTTTCGTGGGCCCGTCCACGAAATCCAGTTAGAATTATAGCAGTTAGTCTTTAAGGTGCCACAACATTTTTATCTCTTGTTTGTTTATTTGTGCGTGTGTGTTTATTTGGTCTGGTCTGCCTTGCAGGGCTGTTGTTAAGCAAATGCAGGGGGTCCTGCATTTGATGGGGAAACAATCAGATCTCAGGGAATTCCCCGTTACCTGGATACGAAGAGGGAATCCCCCACCGGGCCGCACTCCCCGGACGTGAGAAGTCAGCATATTGTGCGTCAACAGCTTCATCTCTCCCAGTCGCCGGTCACCCAAATAAAGGAGGAACCTCCTGTACGCATGGCTCGCTAGACCGAACGACTTCCGGTGTTGTGAACGCAGGACTTCCGGGTTCGCCCGGAAGTGTATCGTAGGCGACTTCCGGCGACGTGCGCAACCCTTTTGGCAGACGTTCCGGGAAACGCGGCCCGAGGCGCGACCGTTCCGCGTGAGTTTTGGTTCCCGGCCCTCGTGGTGTTTTGTGGTGGGGTGGGAGCGGGTCGGAGGGTGTTGTTGGTTGCTCCGGAGTTTGTGACAACGTTGCCATCGAGGTGCAAAATACACACACACACACACACACAGAGTATAGCCTTGTGATGGATCATTAACGACACGGCGCGCACAACACTGAAAAGGGAAATATATTATTATAATTATTTGAGGACCAATGTGATTGCAGTTAGCGTGCAAAGAAGCTGAAAAATCCGATCCTGCACCCGTTGAAGGGAAGCACGCGTGGCTGTGTGTTTTTTTTTCTGACGGCCCGATCCAGTGCGGGTTTACTCAGAAGTAAATTTCCCCCCCCCCATGCCATGGATGAAACTCCCCGTTTGGCTGCAGTTCTGCCAAAACAGGTTCTTTGAAGCTTCGAGAGACGTTTTCTGGAAATCCCGGCGACTGCCTTCCGAGTCGGGCTCCCTCACTGATTGTGCCCTGGGATTTACTCGAAAGGAGGCCCTGCAAGACGCGATGGGACTCTCTTACTCCCAATGAAGTGCAATGCTATGCTTCTTGCAGTTTTCTTCCAAAAAAAAAATGGGTGAAGAAGAGTGGCAGCGGCTGGAGCAGGAGCCGAAAGCCCTGCTCGCGTGTAAATTTCCACCCAGGTTCAAGGGACCGGCTTACTCCTGAGGAGCCCAATCATGAAACACACCCGCATTGACTTAAAAGGGAGGAAAGGGACAAAGTCTTCCCAAGGGACTGGCTTACTCCTGAGGAGCCCAATCATGAAACGCACCCGCATTTACTTAAAAGGGAGGAAAGGGAAAAAGTCTTCCCAAAAAAAGCGTGCTTCCTGCAAAATGTCGGCTGCGATCCCACGCCGTCTTCCTGGGAGTAAATGAGGCTGATCCAGGGCATCTTCCTGAGTAAAAGGCACCTGGGGTGGTTACTTCCGAGTAAAAACTTACTCCTGAGGAGCCCAATCATGAAACGCACCCGCATTTACTTAAAAGGGAGGAAAGGGAAAAAGTCTTCCCAAAAAAAGCGTGCTTCCTGCAAAATGTCGGCTGCGATCCCACGCCGTCTTCCTGGGAGTAAATGAGGCTGATCCAGGGCATCTTCCTGAGTAAAAGGCACCTGGGGTGGTTACTTCCGAGTAAAAAAAAAATGCATGCATGGAAGACAGGATCCGGGGTAGGCGGAGGACGGTGCCATGCTAATGCATGCAAATGAGATGCAGATTTGGAAAAAAGAAAAAAACCTCAATAACTCTTAAGCCACCCCCCCTTCCCCCCCCCCCATATCCCTTCCTTTGGGGGAAACTTCAAGCCTCAAGCCTTGTTTGCGCAACGGGAGGAGGAGGAGGAGGAGGGAGGACTTCAAAGGTTGCCAGGGTGGCCGTCCCTCCCGGGGATTGCCATGGCAACGGGGTGGAACAGGGCGGGGGCCCTGGGCTGGCTGGCCCGCTGGGGAGCCCCGGTTGCAAAAAGCTGGGCGGCGTCGGCGTCGGCGGGGACTTTGCGGGCTTTCGGATCCTCCGCACCGGCCATGGCGGCCCTCAAGGTGAGCCGGCCGAGTCCCGACCTTCAGGCCTCCTTTGGGGAAGAGGGAGCCGGCCAGCCCCATACATACAGGGCAGGCAGACGCCCAGCCCCATAGCACCCTCCTTCCCTTGAGCAGGGGTGCAATCCCCTTGGAGGGCAGCTGGCCTCCCAGCCCCCCCCCAGACTGGCTCCAGATGCAATCCAGAGACACCCCCCCCCAAATCGGCCTGCTTTCCAGCCCCCTAGAAAGCAAGGCTTTGGGGGTCTGTGCTTGCAAAGAAGCGCCCTATAGCGGGACTAAAAGAAGGGGCGCCTTGGATTTTCCCCCTGTGGTCAGCCTTGGCCCTTCTCTATTCTTCTGCCCCACAGAACAGCAGCTCTGGATCTGTGGGGTAGAAACACAAGCCTAGGGGGACCTGCCTAGACCTCTAGTGCTAACCTTTGGGGGTGGGTTTGCAGGGCAAAACTCTGGGGAAAAAGATTAGCAGCAGATGTTCTGGGACTTCCAGAAATCTCGGCTAGCAGAGGTGGTGGTGAAGGCTTCTGGGAGTTGTAGTCCAGGAACATCTGAAGGCCCCCAAGGTTGGGGACCCCTGCTGTAGAAGGCCCTCCCTGGCCCATAAGAGCAGTTCCAGCCCCACAGAACTCGGGGGGCTGTAAAGAAGAATCAGCATAATCTCTGATAGGCGGAGCTGGAAGGCACCCTATAGATCCTTGTGTCCAGACCCTGTTAGGCGAACCCCCCCAGGGGATTTGAACCCCCAACCTCTTGATCCACAACCCGAGACCCGAACCTTTAAGCTCTCCAGCTGTTTTTAGACACCCCCCCTCTCTGGAGAAGAATCGCCTTAGAGACTTATAGAGGTCAAGCATTGTTCCAGGGAATTGCAGAAAGCAATTATTTTCCAGCTTTTTCCTCCTGGATGTTTTTGACTTTTGACTCTCAGAATTCCTGATTTTTTTCGCCGACCCGGAACATGGAGGGCCTCAGGTCCAAAATTTTGGTACGCTGAAGGTTGAAAGGGAAACCCTGATGGAGAGGAGCACAGAAATGGGTTTTTTCCCCCAGTCCCCCATCTCTTTCCAAACCAGCCTAAGATTCACGTCAAAGGAGCGCTACAGAAAAATCATACCCAAGAAAAATCTATATATAACCATCTCCCCAAAGCGCTCTTTTTCCTGGAAGATCCCTTCTAGGTGGCCCAAACTGATCTAGCATTGAATCTTAGGGAGAATCAGTTTTACATGGGGATTAAACCCTTGCCACCTTTCGACAGATTGGAGACAAGCTGCCCGCCGTGGAGGTCTATGAGGGAGACCCTGGCACAAAAGTGAATCTGGCGAGCCTCTTTAAAGGAAAGAAGGGCATTCTGTTCGGGGTGCCCGGCGCGTTCACTCCGGGCTGCTCAAAAGTAAGTAAGAGCCCATCGGGGTGCATTTATTACGTGCAAAGTTTGGGGTAGTCTTTTTTAAAAAGGAGGTTTTTCCAGCCTTTCCTTGTGATACCTGTTTAGTGATGTTCTCTCTAGCTCCAGATCAGAAACCTGGCAGTAGAATATCAATAGCTAAGGGGAAGCTGGAAGAGTCATGATTACAGTGGCGCCCCGCATAGCGATGATAATCCGTGCAGCAAAAATTGCTGCAAAGCGATTTCGTTGCTATGCGAGTTTTAAAAGCACGTAAAAATGCATTGAAACCCCTTCAATGCGTTCCTATGGGCTTAAAACTCACCGTAATGCGAAAATCCTCCATACGGCCGCCATTTTCGCTGCCTGGTAAGCGAGGAATCGGCGCGAAAACACAGCCAGCGGCCATTTTGTTTACCCGGCCGCCATTTTGGAACCGCCGATCAGCTGTTAAAAATCATCGCTTTGCGATGATCGGTAAGCAAAACAGGGTACCGATCATCGCAAAGCGATTTTTCCCCATAGGGAACATTGCAATGCGATTGCAAAAGCGATCGCAAAAAAATGTCGCTATGCGGTTTCATCGTTAAATGGGATGCCCGTTAAGTGAGGCACCACTGTATTTTCTAAAAAAGAAAACATTCTGGAGCTCTAACCAGTGTCCAAGTCAACGGTTAAATGAATCATGAAGAACTCCCATTTCATGTTTGTAGTGGGGTATGACGGGGTTGTGAATCCACATGTTTGGGACTGCAGTTCTCAGCCTCTCTTGGATTTTACTATGCTAGATTATCTGGGAATTGAGATCCAAAATTTCTCTGTGTCTAAGGACTGGCACCTTCCTTCACCAGCTGTTGCTTGTTCTCTCCATAGACTGTGCTCTCATAGTCTTCTTCTTTTCCTGCCCCCCTACCCTTACACAGACCCACCTCCCAGGCTACGTGGAGAAAGCAGGACAGCTGAAAGGCAAAGGAGTGGAAATCATTGCTTGCTTGTCGGTCAACGATGTCTTCGTCATGAATGAATGGGGGAAGGCACACCAGGCTGAGGGAAAGGTACGTCAGAGGGGAGTCACGGCTTTCTTTGTCCTTTAAAACAGCCATCAAGTTTCTAGTCCTTCCCGTTGCAGTGGGTTTGCAGCATTTGAAGGGGTGCAGGCAAAGGACGATGGGGTCTGAGAAACGGGAGAGTCGGTTGCCGGAGGTATCTAGCAGTTCCCTCTATCTGCTCCTGGTAGGGTTTTGAAAGAGGTTTTTTAATTTGATAAATTTGCGTAACTTCCCTTGAGTCCGCGAAGATTCTCCGTCATCCACGTGTGGTTATCTAGAACTTGAGTCATGGCAACTGAAGTCCAGTTGCCATGACCCAACTTCCCAATTCTCTTGAGTCGCGTTTGGGGAGAGAAGATCCAATGTGATGTACAGTGGTGGCTCGCTTCATGATGATAATCCATTCCAGGAAAATCGCCGCTAAGCAAAAAGATCGTAATGCGAAAAAATGCATTGAAACCCCTTCAATGCGTTCCAGTGGGGTCAGAACTTACCGTCCAGCACAGATCCTCCATAGGGCAGCCATTTTCGCTGCCTGTCTTGCGAGGAATCCGTCCCAGAAAACAGCGGGGAGCCATTTTGTTTACCCAGTGGCCATTTTGAAACCGCCTGTCAACTGTAGGAAAATCATCGTTTTGCGAAGAATCGGTTCCCGAAGCAGGGAACCAATCATTGCAAAGCAAAAAAAAAACCCATTTAGACCATCATTTTCCAATTGCGATTTCAATCACAAAAAGATCATTGTAATGCGGTATTTAGACCATCATTTTGCGATTGCGATTGAAATTACAAAAAGACCGTCGTAATGCGGTGTCATCATAATGCGGGCCAGTCGTAAAGCTAGGCACCACTGTAGTAGATCAAAAGCCGGACTGTGATTCAGGAGAACATAGCCCAATCTCCATGTTGCCTTGGGAACACGTTAGTAAGCCACTCCTTGAATATTTCACATAGATAAATACCCTAGCATGTTGGAATTGACCTGACAGCAGACACACCCAGCAAATAAATTCCCAGTAGCTTATGTCTCCAGATAGCCAGAGGCTCCTAAGTAAATTGAATGTCTCTTCTTAATCCAGTGATTACGCCTTAACGAACTACAGGAGCAAACACAGAAGAACAGCGATAACAAGGCTCAAAGGAATATTTTCTACACTTAATTGGAAAGGGGGGGGTTCATGCTCTGATCTAACAGAGTATAAGCAGAAAGTAGCATCCTCAGAACTGATGTTCAGAGACACACTGTTTGCGCCTGTGATGGAAAGTTAATGCCCCCCCACTGTGCCTCCAGGTTGAAGAGCCAGCCTGGGTGGCCTTGGGCAAGCTGCAGAGTCCCACAGCACCCCTAGTGGGGAAAAAGGGTAAAGCAGTTCTGAATATTCCCTACCTGAAAAAGAGTAATCATAATTGTAAGAATTGACTTGACTGCACCTGATGATGATGATTAGAAACCCATTCAGCCTTCTTCAAAAGAGAAGAGTCTGAAGAGGACTCCATCTTTCCATATTTTTTAAAAGACTGGGTGACCCCAGGTGTATCTCCATCCATTCCTGATTAGGATTGATGTCATGGGTTTCATTGTTTTTCTCCACTGTATTGATTCGTTGCTTAAATCCTGATAAATCTGTATTGGGTTTGACCTTTAAATTAATAGTTCCGTTTTTTCTTCCGTGACCTGGAGAAATTGCTCTTTTTTTGCATAGTTGAAAAATTTCAGTATTATAGGTCTTATTTCTGGGGTACCCAACAAAATGAATTCTCTCTGTATCCTCTTCTGCCAAACGCTGGGAGTTCATAATAGAATTTATCCAGGTCTCCACTTCCTGCTTAAGCTCAGCTCCTTTTTTGCAGCTCAAAATTCATTATTTTGATGTTGTTGCCTCTTGAGCTGTCTTCCAGATAAATCACTTTCTTTTGCAAATCGTCTGTCTTCTGTTGTTGTGCCTTTGTTTTCCCTGACGATGATTAGAAACCCATTCAGTTTAGGGCCTAATGTTCGACAAGCACAGTCATGCCCGAACCAAAGGGACAGAAATTCCTGTCTTCTCCACCTTTTTAAAAAAATGCAATTACCGGTAGTTTGATATTATTCTCTTTATGAAGACAGTGAAGAATGTGGTGAAGCTTTACAGAGACCTATTTCAAAAGGGGGTGGGTGGGGAGGGAAGGAATACACACAGAGCAAAATCATGCCTATCTCTTGTTCTCGGAAATTTGAACTCTGAGTGTTACTCTGTATTGGTAATACAAAGTTGTGTAATCTTAAAAGAGCGCCGTGGTGTTCGTTATGCCACAACACGCTTGCAAAAGAATTTGTTCTTAGTGTGCAAGAACTGGATCAGACCAAAATCCAGCTAACCTAGTATTCTGTTTTCAGCAGAGAACAGCCAGCCACCTCTGCAAACATTTCCAAACGTAGGCCTTTGAGGATCCCACTCCCATGTATTAGAACTCTCTTCAGACTTCTGGGCTCTCTTCTGTTAATCATGTAGCACTGAGTTCCACAAATCAGTTGTACAGCTTTTTTGGGTGGGGGGCTTTGTTGAACCGACAGGTAGTCTTCCCAAATCGGTCGGCCCTGCTCCCTGACAAGTGTATCTATCTCATGTCCACCTTTGCTGCGCTTGTGTTGTACATTTTGCAGCACAGGCATACAACCTCAGCAGGCATGCTTAACCTGCTAATGTCCCATGAATTACAGTGGTGCCTCGCTTGACGAGGATAATCCGTGCCGTTGAAATGGCTGTTAAGCGAAATCCTCATCAAGCGAAATTAAAAAGCCCATTAGAATGCATTAGAAACCGGCTAATGCGTTCTGATGGGCGAAATACCTCATTGTAAAGCGAAGATCCTTCACAGGGCAGCCATTTTCCAGTGCCTGTCTTGTGAAAAATGCCTCCTCTAAAAACAGCGGAGGGCCATTTTGAGAGCCGGCAGCCATTTTGAAAACCGCCGCTCAGTTGTTGAAAAAACATCGTTTAGCGAAAAATCAGTTCCCGAAGCAGGGAACCAATCATCGCTAAGCGGAAAAAAACCATTCACACATTGTTTTGCGATCGCAAAAACATTGTGAAGCGGATTCATCGTTAAACGTGATAATCGTCAAGTGGGGCAGGACTGTATCACGAAGATGAGAAGGGCTGCAGTGAATAAACTTGAGACATGTTATTTCTTTGAAACCTGATCGTTGTCCTTATTCGTGCAGCGGCCTCTGACTACCATTGGCTTTTGGAGGATGTTTCGACATTTTTGGGAAAGCAGGCTTGTATTTCAACACTTGCCTGCTTACCGTAGGAGCCTAGTCGTTGCATACAGTCGGAGGAGGTAACTAGAAGGCTGCAGCTCCGCTCTCTTCTGCATTCAGCATGGAATTTAATGTCCTGCGTAGGAATCATATGATTTTAAAGGGATGTTCAGAAGTCAGCTTTAAAGGTGATGATTTCTCAAAGAGATTTTTTAAAAAAATGCTATGTGGTCTTTTGTACACAATCCGCTGGACGATTACCCTGCTCTACGACGAATCTGCTTTACATTGATGTTTTAGCGATTGCTTTTGCGATTCCAAAACAATGTTTTTAATGGGGTTTTTTCGCTGCGCGATGATCGGTTCCATGCTTCAGGAACCGATTTTTGCTTTGCGGGTTTCAAAATGGCCACTGGCTGAAGAAAATGGCCTCCCGCTGTTTTCTAGGACGGATTCCTTGCTTTACAGGCACCGAAAATAGCTGCCGTATGGAGGATCTGCGCTGGACGAGCAAGTATTCAACCCATTGGAACGCATTGAACAGTTTTCAATGCGTTTCAATGGGTTTTTAAATTTTCGTTTGACGACGTTTTCGCTCTACAGCGATTCCGCTGGAACGAATTGACGTCATCAAGCGAGGCACCACTGTACCTTTACTAGACCACTAAAAAATCTGAAGCAGAAGCTAGCTTTCAACCTGTATAGGCCTTCCACTAGTCAGGTCCACTCTGGATTTGTTGATTGTACCAAAAAATAAATGTAACTGGGCATGTTTAGCCTTGGGGGAACAAAGACAGAGAGGTGATAGGGTAGCAATACTCGAACAAAGACAGAGAGGTGATAGGGTAGCACTTTTCAAATCTCGAAAGATAGTCATACAGAGGAGGCGCAGGATCTGTTCCCCATCATACCAGAGTGCAGGACACACAAAAATGGGCTCAAGCAACATATCTCGAAAGATAGTCATACAGAGGAGGCGCAGGATCTGTTCCCCATCATACCAGAGTGCAGGACACACAAAAATGGGCTCAAGCAACAGGAAGCCAGATTTAGGCTGCATACCAGGAAAAACTTCTTAACTGTTAGAGCAGTACGACAATGGAACCAATTATTTTTTGGAGGTATTGAGCGCTCCGGAGCAGGATGTTTTAAAGAGAAAATGGGACAACCGTCATCCAAGACCATCTGGAGGCCCAAGGTTGGGGACCACTGTGTTAGAGCACTATGACAATTGAACCAATTATTTTTGGGAGGTAGTGAGCGCTCCGGAGCAGGATGCTTTTAAGAGAAAATGGGACAACTGTCGATCAGATCTGCTGTGACTTGGATTCCTGCACCAAGCAAGGGCTTGGACCCAGTAAGTCCTACGGAACCCTTCGAAGTCAATTATTCTATGATTCTACAAAAGTCCCACGTAGCTATTTATGCCGGAACTCTTTGTTAAAAGTGAGCTTCAAAACGGAGGGGCAGCAAACTTAAGTTGTTTGTGTTGCTGCTTGAACCCTGTGTTTCAAAAGCATGAAGAGGCCAGCTTTCCTAATTGGGCAATTTCATTTGGGGGCTTCCTTTTCTTGTCTTCCATAGGTCCGGATGCTGGCTGATCCAACAGGAGCGTTCGGAAAGGTACTGGATTTTCACCCCGTTTCGACTTCTGTGAACCTAGGGAATGAAATGGGTGGGGGGTCATTTCTTTTTCCTGCTAATAATTCTGCTCCCTCTGCGGTCATCTCTTGGGGGGAAGGATGAGATGCCTAAAGCAAGGTTGATTTATGTTCTTGGACTCCCAACACCCAGGATTTTGAGATCTGTAGTCTAGAACCCCAAATCTAGACGATCCTCATGCTGGCAGGACAGAGTTAAAACCCTACGGCTTTCAGAAGCAAGTAAGGTTTAAAAATAATCATGTTCCCCTCAAGCAGCCAGGCAGTGTCTGATCTATACTAATCCACGCCTGGCGTTTCCAGAATAGTTTTGCTTTCTGTTTTGAACCCTCATCATTCATTGAATGAGCCCAGATTTTAGTATTAAAAGAGAAAGCAAGCATTGTCAGGCCTCAGGGTAGTAATGCAGGAGCTGGAAAGAGTGATAAGGAACCTCCCCTTTTTTTTCTAAATAGCCCCTTATTTATCCATCCCAGAAATTATTTAATTGCGCCTGCCCGTGTTTGGTTAGCTAGGTCTCCCAAACAATGCTTCCCCATCCGATGGGCCAGTTAGGTCTTCGTCTTTACTTTCCAAATACTTAAGATTTATTTTCCCTCGCCAGGCCACCAACTTGTTGCTGGATAAAGAACCGCTTCGGGAACTCTTTGGGACCAACCGGTCTAAACGGTAAGGACAAGCAGGACAGGGAGAAGTTGGTTTTAGGACTGGGAAGAAAAGAGCAATCATCCTTCCCTCCTCCAGCTGTACTTGCCTTCACTTCAACTCTGGGACGGTAGCCTTGTTAATTGATTGCAACAACTACCAAGAAAAAAAACACACACACAAAAACCAGCGTTCTATCGCTAACGTCAAGCAGATAATAATCCATTGGCTGAAATCCTGTTGCCCAGTTAGGCAAAATGCGTACCCTTTAAGGGAGAATTGCCCTTGTTAATTGATTGCAACAACTACCAAAAAACACACACACAAAAAAACCCCAGCGTTCTATCGCTAAAGTCAAGCAGATAATAACCCATTGGCTGAAATCCTTTTGCCCAGTTAGGCAAAATGCGTAACCTTTAAGGGAGAATTGATGTAAGTTGAGAAATCTCCGTAGCCATTATCTATTGCACGCTGAGCCGTCATTCACTGCTAAAGGTCCCCCCCTTTTGTGCAACAGGATATCAGCCATTGAATCCACTGCTGAATAATAAATTCTACGCCGTACTTAATCCCGTTGAGTTAGTGGGTCTGCTCAGTGCGAGACAATTAGCAAAACAATAACCCTCAGATCCTAAAGATCAACAAAATTTATCATGCATAAGCTTCGGTGGGATTTCTGGTGTCGTGTAGTGGATAGAGTGATCAACTGAGGCTCTGGAGAACAGGGTTCGAATCTCCACTGACCCATGGGACTGGAACTTACTGGGGGAATGCAACTGGGAAACCCATTCCTTAAATATCTCACATGCCTTGAAAGCCCTATTAAGGTCGCTGTAAGTTGGTTCCAACTTGACGTAGCCTTCACCACCACCTCTGCTGGCCAGGATTTCTGGGAGTTGAAGTCCAAGAACATCTGGAGGCCCGAGGTTGGGGACCACCGGTGTAGTGGATAGAGTGGTCAACTGGGATTCTGGAGAACAGGGTTCAAATCTCCACTGACCCATGGGAGTGGAATTTACTGGGGGAATGGAACTGGGAAACCCATTCCTTAAATATCTCACATGCCTTGAAAGCTCTATTAAGGTCGCTCTAAGTTGGTTCCAACTTGACAGCACAGAACGCACGTTCTGTCTTAAAAGACTAACAAGTTTTATCACGTGCAACTTTCTATGGGAGTTTAATATAAATCAGGAGAACCAGATTAGAGGGTATAGACTCTCAAGGTAAGTAAATATGTTGATCTTTCAGATGCCACAACATATCCTGCGACTTAGTGGTCTAATCCAACCATTTACTCCTTGGAGGAATATTGCCACTATCCCATCTTGGGCAGGTGGCTGTCCCGCTTCTCATCCTGGGTGGAATTGGGTGGGTGGGGGGTTGTGGATTTCATTTAAGACTTGTCTGGCTCTTCCTGCTTTTTCATCCGCAATTCAGGCATGTTTCTGCAGCACCCTCAAGGTAAGTCAATATGTTGATCTTTCAGATGCCACAACATATCCTGCGACTTAGTGGTCTAATCCAACCATTTACTCCTTGGAGGAATATTGCCACTATCCCATCTTGGGCAGGTGGCTGTCCCGCTTCTCATCCAGGGTTGAATTGGTTGGGTGCGGGGGTTGTGGATTTCATTTAAGATCTGTCTGGCTCTTCCTACTTTCCACCTGCAATTCAGGCATTGAATTTATATAAATACAGTGGTGCCTCGCAGGACATTAGACAGCCATCTGTCAGATATAAAGTGGTGCCTCGCTTAACGATAATCCGTTCCAGGAAAATCGCTGTTAAGCGAAAACATCGTAAAGCAAAAATAAAAACCCCATTGAAACGCATTAAAAACCGTTCAATGCGTTCCAGTGGGGTAAAAACTCACCGTCCAGCGAAGATCCTCCATATGGTGGCCATTTTCGGTGCCTGTATAGCGAGGAATCAGTCCCTAAACACAGTGGGGAGCCATTTTAATTACCCGGCGGCCATTTTGAAACCATGGATCAGCTGTTCTAAAAACATAGTTTTGCGAAGAATCCGTTCCCGAAGCAATTGCGATTGCAAAAAGATCGTCGTAAAGCAGATTCATTGTAATGCGGGCAATTGTTAAGCGAGGCACCACTGTACCTTAAACTGGGATTCCTGCCCTGAGCAGAGGGTTGGCCTCGGTGACTTAATAGGCCCCTTCTCGCTCCATTATTCTGTTATTTAAACTAGTGGTTCCCAAACTCCGCTAACCCAAGTGTCCTTGGACCTATGGGCTTTTTAATTTCGCTTTACGATGTTTTCGTTCTACAGCGATTTTGCTGGAACGAATTAACATCGTAATGCAAGGCACCACTGTAGAGCAAAAGGTTGGCATGTTTCTGCAGGCCGGTGTTGCTCCTAAATAGATTTTGATTTTGGATCTGACTTTGATTTTTCTCCTCAGGTGAGAAACAGATTTCTCCCTTTATGTGACAGTAAGAAAGTTAGGCAGCCATCTGTCAGATATACCTTAAACTGGGATTCCTGTCCTAAGCAGAGGGTTGGGGCCTTGGTGGCCTTATAGGACCCTTCTCGCTCCATTATTCTGTTATTTAAACTAGTGGTTCCCAAACTCCGCTAACCCAAGTGTCCTTGGACTGCAACGCCCAGAAGCCTTCGCTGCTAGCCGTGCTTGCTGGGGTTTCTGGGAGTTGCAGTCCGAGAACACCTGGTTTGCTCAAAGTTGGGAACCACTGATTAAACTGTTGGTTGTTGTGAATCATGTCTCTCCCTCCTCCACTCTAACGTACCATCTTTCACAGGTTCTCCATGGTGGTGGAAGATGGGTTCGTGAAGTCTCTGAATGTGGAAGAGGATGGAACCGGTCTCACCTGTAGCTTGGCCAACAACATTGTGTCTCAACTCTGAGCCACGGACGCGGGGCTCCCTTGTGGCTGTCACCGATCTCCTGAAGCCTGTCGGCAACAACTTTCTGATCCCCCCCACCTGATGGTTGCGGGCCAACATCTCACGCAGCATCTAAAATGTAGCCTAAATTGGCATGGCGGGAGAACTTTATGTAGTTGCTTAAACCCCTTCCCTGTGCGCTCAGTTTGCTTAGATACAAATAGCTTGAAATAAAACCGTAATACCTGTTTTGCTTGTCTTTCTCTGTGTCCACAGCTGGTGGATGTGCTGAGGGGTGGTTCGATGGCTTGACTTTCATCTGTCAGCTTAGATACAAATAGCTTGAAATAAAACCATAATACCTGTTTTGCTTTTCTTTCTCTGTGTCCACAGCTGGCGGATGTGCTGAGGTGTGATTCGATGGCTTGACTTTCATCTGTCAAGTTTGGTCTCTGAATGTGGAAGAGGATGGAACCGGTCTCACCTGTAGCTTGGCCAACAACATTGTGTCTCAACTCTGAGCCACGGACGCGGGGCTCCCTTGTGGCTGTTGCCGATCTCCTGAAGCCTGTCGGCGACAACTTTCCGATCCCCCCCCACCTGACGGTTGCGGGCCAACATCTCACGCAGCATCTAAAATGTAGCCTAAATTGATGTCCCGAGGGCAGGCGTGGTGGGAGAACTTTATGTAGTTGCTTAAACCCCTTCCCTGTGCGCTCAGTTTGCTTAGATACAAATAGCTTGAAATAAAACCGTAATACCTGTTTTGCTTGTCTTTCTCTGTGTCCACAGCTGGTGGATGTGCTGAGGGGTGGTTCGATGGCTTGACTTTCATCTGTCAAGTCTTCTAGGCCAGTGGTCCCCAACCTTGGGCCTCCAGATGTTCTTGGACTACCACTCCCAGAAGCCTTCACCACCACCTTGGCTGGCCAGGATTTCTGGGAGTTGAAGTCCAAGAACATCTGGAAGCCCAAGGTTGAAGACCACTGTTCTAGGCTTTTCATACCCTGTTTCCCTTAAAATATGACCTAACCTGGAAATAAGCCCTAGTAAGATTTTTCAAGATGCTCGTAATATAAGCCCTACCCCAAAAATAAGCCCCAGTTAAGTGAAACCCAGCCCTCCACCCTTGGGCAACAACCAGAAGATGATGACATGACTGCATTTGAATCAATGTAGATGGTTGTACATGACAAAAAATAAAACATCCCCTGAAAATAAGCTCTAATGCATTTTTTGGAGCAAAAATTAATATAAGACCCTGTCTTATTTTCTAGGAAACAGGGTATATTTTAATCCGAGATGATCCACTTTTGCAGGGCATGGAAAGTAATATTAGAGCATCAAACACAGGGAGGGAGAAAGAAAATGATTACTCAGAAGTAAATTCAGCTCCATCAAGCGGAGATAATGATCTAGAGAAGTGGAATAAACTTAGAGGAGCACAGGATTGTAACAATAAATAATAATATCCTGTCCAATCAATCCTGACCCTTTTCAGTTTTCTAGGTAGAGACTACTGAACACAGGGAGGGAGAAAGAAAATGATTACTCAGAAGTAAATTCAGCTCCATCAAGCGGAGATAATGATCTAGAGAAGTGGAATAAACTTGGAGGAGCACAGGATTGTAACAATAAATAATAATATCCTGTCCAATCAATTCTGACCCTTTTCAGTTTTCTAGGTAGACTACTGAGAAGTGCTTTACACTTCCCTTCCTCTAGGGGGAGCCCTCTGACTGTGCAGCTTGCCCAAGGCTACCCAGGCTGGCTCTTCTCCCAGGTGGCGCAGTGCGTGGCCCTGTTGTGGTTTCTGTTGGTTGCGCTTTCCAGAGACCACTTCCTTTTTTACAACCTTCCACTAGACACAACTTTTAACAATGTGTAATTAATTCCGGCACATTTTTTTAAAAAAACTGCTAGGGCAAGTAACAAGAGTTGGAATTTCAGTGCTGGGGAGGGTTAACTCCCCCACCCCGCATAGCACTGACTCAAATCGCCCCCACAAACACACACTGAAACCAGTTTAGTAGTCCCGAGGGAGATGTGGTCTCCTTGTAGTTTGTCGTCGCTGTTGTTATGTGCCACCCAACCATCCCCAACTTTGTGAATGAGCCGTTTTCAAAACGTCAGCTCTTGCAGACTCAAGCCTGTGGTTTCCTTTAGGGAGTCTGTCCATCTTGTATTTGACCTTCCTCCTTTCCTGCTGCCTTCCATTGTTCCCATCATGATGGTCTTTTCCAGAGAATCCTGCTTTGTCAGGATGTTCCCTATCCACGAGGCTCTCCTCCCAGCAACACATCTCAAACAAATTAATCTTTTTTTCCTGCTGGCCCTCTTCTTCGCTGCCCGACGTTCACACCCGTAGACGCTTTATCGGAAACCAAAAATGTGGATAATCTTGTAGTTGGCGACAAATGTGATATTTTCAGTGAACTAACCTAGGGTTTTTTTCTTTCTTTCATTCATTCAGCGGATGTATGAATGGAAGCTCTTAAGTCGCTTTTATTCCATCACCCACAGGGGTGGGGAAGCACATGTTTTTTCCACCTTCATGATGCTGTTCTAAAACTCAGTATGTGCTGGCACGTTGTTAAGCTGATCTTAGCTGCCACTAAAAGGTTCTGCTCCCAGGGGATCCCGGTTTATTTTCTCCTAAATTTTTTTCAACCGAGCATCAGCAGAAAAGTGTGCGTTTTGCTCTTTTTTTCTCGGTTTTGCCATTTTGCACCGGCGTTTTAAAAATAAAGTTTACCACCCATAAGCTTGAATTGGTGTGTGTGTGGGGAGCCACAAAGATGCTAAAATTGTTGCCTGCGCAGGATGCGGCCAGTTGGGCGGCTGATACACCCAAGCATCGGCTTTGCCTGAAAGCTTCGCCAACGGGCCAGCCCTGCTATCGTCACACGAGAGTTTCTCTGTTTGTCTCATAACACATCTGACCGCAAGATGAGAAATTACAGTCTTAGCTTTCTTGAGGGGGAAATTTTGGCGGATGTCATTCTGATCTTGTGCGCGTCTCCCCTGACAAGGGACCATCATCTCCTAGTACTCGCAATCCCATGCTCCATGTGTGTCACGTTATGTCCCATCAAGTCGAAGCCAAGTTTTGGTGACCCCCCCCCCAGATAAGTTAGATATTTAAGTGAGAGTTTTTACCAGTTCCATTTCATCCATGGCCGAGCAGAGATTTGAACTCGGGTCTCCTGAGTCCTAGTTCATCAGTATCCACTACACAGCACCTGTGGGTATCTTGCCACACACTCACACAAATGTTGCAACCTTTCTTAATGAGACGCAGGCTGTGAGGCTGCGTTCGCCTCCAAAGCAAGCCTCCTGCTACATATACAGGATGTCCTTTGCTTACCCAACATAGACGATGTGTGAGCGGCCCTTGGAACTCCTTGCCTCATGTTCCGTTCTCCCCACCTGGCACCAACCCTGGCTTACGGCCCGAGACTCTGGAGCCAAAGTCGGCAAGAGGCATTCGCGAGAGAAGTTTCTGCTCTCCGCCAACTCGACTGGACCCTTTCAGGAGGCGATGGAAGCCTTCTCTCCCACCTTCCTCCGTGTCACCTTTTCTGCGGTTTTCCGGCTGCTGTGAGCAAAGGAAATGAAGTCAGCCAGAGCCGGGCTTCTCTCCGTGGCATCTCCATTTGGCCGGCGCACTTCGACACATGCTCCCGAGCATGGGGGATCTCTCAACGACGGCGTGTTAAAACACGGGACTTCCTGTGCGGTGGGAAGTCAGATGCAAACAGGTCCCTTAATTCTGTGCCGTGGACGCCTTCCTCCTCGGCTCCCCCCACCCGCTAAATTGAGGAAGGAAGCTTAAACTCCGGTTTTACAGATGTAATGCACCCTACAAAATAACAGGCACACCTAAAGCCGGCAGGGAATCCTTTGGAGAAGAAGAGAGTCTCACCTGGATGCCACAATGGACGGAGATGATGCAGAAATGGTGGAAGATTTCGTCTCAGGACCACTGGTGACTTGGGTAAGGGTCTCCGGGGGGGGGGAGGGAATAAGTAAAGGCTGATTCTTTTTTGAATGGAGTGAGGTTGACACTAGTGAGTCACCCCACAGTTGGGGGCCCATTTCAGACCTGTCATCCGGAATGGTACCAGGCGTGGTTTGGAAGAACCTTCCCTGGCTAGCACACTGCTGTTTAATCCAGTAGACTGAGTGGGTGATATATAGATATATACACACACCAGAAAAAAAACATGTATTAGATCGACCATGTTTTCAAGATTGTGGAACAGATTATTTGATTTGTTGCTTTCATTTGGTCTGGCTTGATTTGGTTTTGAAGGATTTCTTTCTATTTTTAAAAATCTACCCAATTATTAAATCTTAATTCTCAGCAACTTTCTGCATGACCTTCTTCGCTGTCGCGCCCTAACTCTGTAATATTCTCATCACAGAAGCATGCGTGGTGCAGAGTCTTATGTACCTGCAAAGTTTTAAAGATTTATTTTTAATTGTTTTAAGACTCGGCTTTGCTGTTGGCCTTCTGTCGCTTTGACTGTTCTGTCCGTTGTGGATTTAATCGAGCTTTTCGATCATCGTTCTACTCTTACCAGCCTTTGGAGCTGAAATGTGGGTTAGAAATGTTTCCAGTAAGTTCGGTTCTAGAAGATAAGCTTATAGCTTTGCTCCACCAAAGGAAATGAGTTAAAATCCAGGGGTGACAATGACTTTTTGTTAGGATCAACCCAAATATAAAAAAGCATAGAGACCTCAAATTTCTTGGGAGTTTTTTAAGGAGAGGGTGGCTGTTCCTCTCTAAGCAGCCTCTGGCTAAGGATGCTGAATCTTGAAATATTGTTAAGATTAAACATTGGATATACAGTGGTGCCTCGCTAGACAATGATAATCCGTTCCACTAAAATTGCTGTTTATCGAAATCATCGTCTAGCGAAAAGCATTTCCCCATTGGAATGCATTGAAACCTGTTTAATGTGTTCCAATGGGGAAGAATCGTCGTTGTCTAGCAAAGATCAGCCATAGGAAAGCCACTTTGTGAACCGCTAATCAGCTGTTTAAATAGCTGTCTTGCAAAGCTTAGGTCCCGAAAACACCTATTTTGCGAGTGCGGAGGGAGCTGTCAAAATCGTCGTCTAGCGAAAATCAGTTTGCAATGCAGGGACCAAACATTGTCCAGCGAAATTCCCCCATAGGAATCACTGTTTTGCGAATCGCTATAGCGATCGCAAAAAGTCATCGTCTAGTGAAAAAACTGTCATGCAGGGTGACTGTCTAGCGAGGCACCACTGTAAAGTAAATATTGTTCATTGCTTTATAAGATGGGGACACACCAAAATGTTGCCCACGGTGATGACCTAAATCGGTTTAAGAAAAGGCAAAGCTGAGATTGTATAATTTAGGTAAGAGTCGGGTGGCCATCTTTTACAGCGGACAGTCCTCTGTTTTTTTCTCCCTCTACTGCAGTGGTTGCCAACCTTGGGTAACTCAGGTGTTCTTGGACTACAACTCCCAGAAACCTCAGCCAGCACAGATGGTAGTGAAGGTTTCTGGGAATTGCAGTCCAAGAACACCTCAGTTACCTGAGATTGGGAAAAACTGTTCAACAGGAAGGGCAATCCGATCCAAATCAAATTTATTGAGAGAGGGCCATGACAGAGGCGAGCAAAGAGGCTTTGAAATTACCAGTAATTAACATCTTAATTAGCACACTAAGCAACCAGGAAGCGGTGGACCTGGTTTGAGTCTTCCCCATTAAAGCGATATTTATTATATTTCTGTTTAAATTATATGAATCATCTCTACTTCTGCATTTGTGGATGCAAATTAGCATTGTTGGGGAACCCCCAGCATAGAAACCAAGTCCCTCGTTTCTTCCTGACGGCCAAACAATTAATTTGCATCATGTGGTGCTTCAGAGCATCAGAGGATAACCACATGCCTTTTGCTGCTTAAAGCAGCTCCATGTCTAACTGCAAAGCTGACCAGCTCCTCCGTTTCTGTCATCTGGGAAAGAAAGAAAAACTAACATTATTCCTCTTATTTGCATCCTTTTTGTCTACAGGTCCAAAGCATGGAGCGTCTGGCAGACTCAAGATCCGATCAGCCCACTTCCCCTCAGGAGAAGCAAAACCACGAGAGCAGAAAAGAGTATTTCGTCAAGCTCGTGAACGGCGACTTCCTCATCCGCATCATGGAGACTATGTAAGTCCTTATTTTCTTAGCATTTCTGCACAACAAACGTACGTCAGTTTATGTGGTGAGTTAAGTCTGGATAACTGGCTTGATGGCTGAGTGGATCCAGAAGTTGGGAGTTCGAATGCCGCACTGTGCCTCCTGGGAGAGGAGCCAACCTGGGTGGCCTTGGGCAAGCTGCACAGTCCCAGGGCTCCCCCTAGAGGAAGAGAAGGGTAAACCACTTCTGAGCATCTTGTCCCTGGAAAACCTTGAAAAGGGTCCTCATGAATCAGAATTGATTTGACAGTGCACAATTATTATTTTCATTCGATGTGGAACCGTCAGGATTAAATGTCAAACTGTCAGAACTCGTTTGATGGGTGGCCTTGGGCAAGCTGCACAGTCCCAGGGCTCCCCCTAGAGGAAGAGAAGGGTAAACCACTTCTGAGCATCTTGTCCCTGGAAAACCTTGAAAAGGGTCCTCATGAATCAGAATTGATTTGACAGTGCACAATTATTATTTTCATTCGATGTGGAACCGTCAGGATTAAATGTCAAACTGTCAGAACTCGTTTGAGAAAAAGAAAGTTGGAAGCAGTGTTCTTCCGCTAGCTTGTCCGTTCGCTGTTGATCTATTCACAACTGTAAGTAATGGAACATTTTATTCTTTCTCCTACAAATGCCTCAGGGTGAGTTATTGAGACCTTAAGTTAAGGAGAAAGGGTTGAGCTGTCTGGGAAACTTGTAGCTATTCTCTTCTGCAGGTCTCTGTGCTTCTGCTGCATAGCATAAGGAATTTTACCAGAAATCCAAGACTCTGAAACAGTTACCATATTTTTCTGTGTATAAGACGCCCCCATCTATAAGGCGCCCCCCACTTTTCTAATCCAAAATTAAGAAATCTAAGTGGGGCTTAGCAAGTGTAAGGGGAAAGGGATCAAAGCGCTGCAGGATCGCTTTGATCCCTGCTTTCCCCTCCACTTGTTTTTGTTCTCTCCTCAGCTTACTTCCATGTATAAAATGACCCTCAATTTTTAGTCTAAAGATTTTAGACGAAAGTATAGTCTTATACACGGAAAAATACGGTATGTGCCACCAATTTGCTTCTGACTTACGATGATGCTAATTGGGGTTTTGAGTTATGTGAGATGTTTAAGGACTGGTTAACCTTTATCACTTTGAATTTCCATAACTGGGATCAGATCGGAACCCAGGTCTTCTGATTCTTAGTCTAACCACTACTTCACACTGCATCTTGTTTAGCGTACTTATTCTCCCCCCCCCCCCGGGTGACCTTCTCA